ATTAAAATATTACGATTCATCTGAATTTTATCAAGCATAACTCTTAAATCAGAAGAAAAAGTTGGGTTACTAAAAGTAAAATATTTTTTTTTTTTGTAAAATTTCCATATCATCTCAATAAATTGATAATAAATTATGACAGGAAAGTATATGAATGAAATTAACAGGTGGAAGAACGTGAAGAACGTTTTCCACATATTTCAGCGGTGGATTTTTCAGATAATACTCCCAATGCACAGCCAACATCAAATACCTGAAATTAAAAAAGTAAATTTAATTTAAATTAATTCGATTTATAAATTTAATTTAGCTTGTATTAAATATTCACATTTTTCATTCGAATTTCTCCTTTACATTAGTTTTGTTTTAATTTAATTTAGTCTAAATTAAACTTGATATTATACAATTTGATATCCTATATGCGATTATTTTATATTAACAAAAAATTTGACGAATAGTTGGTAAAGATATTTGAATTTGTTTCATTTACATTTCAAATAGTATTTTAATTGCAATATAAAGCGATAAAATAAGAAATAAATAATAAATGCAATTTTATATTAAAATATTTTCCAATATTTTTTATTTTTGCATTTCATTTTTATATGTATCATATGTATTTTTATCTTTTTTTTTCTCATTAGTTACTCAATAAATAGGCTATATCTGATTTTATTTTGATTATTACATTATCATTTTTCTTAGCAAGCAACTCTTATTTAGCCTAATACTTATCAAGCTTTCTTAGGCTAGTATACTCTTGGCTAGTAATACATTACATAATACATGCATTAGATAACCAGATTAAAAAAAAAGGGAAAGAGAACTAAATTCCATAAAAAAAATATAAAAATATTGATGAATATTAAAGTTTAAAATTTCATGAAATTTTAAATATTAATGTTTAAATAGAGTTTAAAATTTTGTTTTTAACATACAAAATATTTTCAATCTCGTTGATTGTTTTAATAAATGAAAAGATAAAAGGAACAAAAATCAAATTGAAACAAAAAAGATTATGTAAAAAATAAAAGAATATTAATGAATATTGAAATTTAAATTTTTGTAAAACTTTAAAACTTTGCTTTTAATACATAAAATATTTTCAATTCATAAATTATTTCAATAAATGAAAGAATAAAAAAACAGATTGTATCGAACATTAATTTTTAATAATTAAACAAATTAATAAAATTACAAAAAAAGAAAAAATAGGGGACAAAAAAAAAAATGAAGCAACTAACTTGTGTGACAATATTATTAGCTTCAGTTTGTGTTTTACTCATTAATGTTAAATGAGTTTTTAAAAGTCGAACATTCCATGCAAAATTTTCCATTGCTCGAGCTGCTTTTGCACCATGTAATCCAGCATTATCACATAATTGTGATAATTCATCGTTACATTCAGTGATACGTTTGGTTGCTGTTTCTAACTAAAATATTATTATTTTATTAATTAATTACTTTAATTTTACTTAATTACTTTGTAATTTTTAACAAATCAATACAACTCATGCTAAATAGAATAAAAATTCAAATTAAACAATAAAAATGTTAATAATTACACGATAAGTAGTTGTACAATTAAATTGCATTAAAACATACAATTAAAATTTTTTTTTAAAAAAAATAAGTTCCATTCTGTCGTGATAATTAAAACAAAAATTAAGTTATGTCAATTAAGTTAATAGTTAATCAAGTTAGAAAAAAAAGTCACATGTAATTCAGTTATATTATATCATATAATTTCATGCTAATAATAATGATTATGACACAAAAAAAAAGGGAATTGAGATATCAAATTTAAATATTTGAAATTGTATTATAAATTATAAATTAATTTAAATGACAATAATAAGGAGGTAAGTTTTCGAATTAAAAAGGCTTAATTTTCAAATTAAAATATTACAAATAATACAATCAATAAAAAATGAAATGAAACATTTTTTTTTTTTGAAAAATTTGACTATTAAATTTTTTAGATATTTTAAAAACACCAATTTAAATTTCTTTTTTTTATTTTTAAACAAACCTTTGACAATAATGGTTCAGTATTAACCAGTATTTTTGCACAAATATCCAAAAGTTCGGACATTGAATCGAATGTTTTCTGTAGCTGTGCCGGAAATACACCACGTGTTACGATCATCGGATACTGTAATGAGTATTTTCTTGATATTCATGTGGTACACAGTTTTTTTTTCATTTTTTTTTCTTTTTTTTTTTTGAATGTTACGATGATGAATACAGTTAATAAAAATTACATATTTGAAAAGAAACATAAAATAAATCGTCAGCGGATGGATAATTAAATATTCCAAAGTATCGTAAAATACCGTAGAGCATTGTAAATTTCAAATCCAATTTTATCACTTGTCAAATTACGATTGCCTATTAATTAAGTCATTAAGTTCTTTCACATTAAAACTTTTGAAATTACACACGGTTGAGTAACATACGGTTTTCTCATCACTACAGATTGCAAAACCTGGCGTTTTATCAACCAATTCATCGGAATCATTGGATTTATTTGGTGAATTTGGAGGTGAAACTGTAATTGCATTATCATTCATATATGCTAATAAAGAATAATTCATTAAACTTATAATCAATTGATTTTTTATCCGATAGATTAAATTTTAAAACTATTTTTCATCATTTAGACTATCTAAATTATGCAAATAATACATTCTTCTAACATTGAATATGACAAATTTGATTGAAATGTAAAAAGAAAAAATCGATTGAAATATAAAAATTAATTTTTGAAGTTTTTTTGAAATGAAATAATTTTACTAATATCGATCGTAAGATTATTATTTCATTTAATTTGTTCATTTTTTTTTGCTTTTTTTTGAAATTATCAAATTTTTATTTCCAGTTTCATTTGATAGTTATCCATGAATGTTATCGGAAAAATATGATAAACGAATTAATTTTCCTTTTCAATCAATTAATTAATTAATTTCCCTTTATTTGATTTTCTTCTTAAATAAATTTAATAAATACACTTTTTTTGCGAAATGTTCATATTTTCTAACTCTTTTTTTTTGCTATTATTTGTTTAAGCAAAAAAATTTGAAATTATATTTTGAAAATGAAATAAAATTAATGATAAATGATAAAATATTGGAACAAACCATTCATTGCAGCAGTTTTTGTCCGTGTCAACATAAGTCGTAGACCTTGTCGTATTGTACCAGCTGGTCCAATACCACAATCATTACGCCATTTAACCTATAATTAGCTTCATTAAACTTTCCAAAATCAATTTTTATATAATTAAATTTAAATAACTAATTGTATTTAAAATTTTTAAGATAAGTACGTTTAAAATTTTAAAGTGTATTTATAAGTATATATGTAAATATGTTTAAAATCTTTAAAAAAAAAATATGAAATTTTTTAAATTATCCATCATCATTATTTATTAACATTTTTCCCGCTTTATCACGGTAAATTAAACGAACCAATGATGATTCAAGTATGCTACGCATTTCAATTGATACAGCTAATGGTGCAATAGCTTGCTTGAAATACTCATCCACTAATTTAATCCCAATTGATTTTACTCCCGTAACAATTCGTGTATTTTTCCGCTTCACAGACATACCACGCTTACGTGCTTTCTGTAATTTACAAAAAATTTCAATTAAATTTTAAATAATTTCAAAAATATTTTTTGCAATTTTTCGAAATAAATGTTAAATGTAATATTTGCGTATAAAAGAAAGTTTTTATCACTTCATAATTTTGACGATAATAAAGTTTTCCTAAAAAGAAAAAAATTGACTGAATTTTAAAAAAATTGAAAATAATTTATAAATTTGCAAATAAGAAGTTCAACTATTTGAAAGATTGTAAATAGCTAACATACTAAATATATAATTATAAGTTGTATTTTTGTTGCATTTTTCTTCAGTAAACAAAAAAAATTTCAATTTCAAATTTTCAATTTCAATTTCAATTTCAAATTTTCATCAATTATTTTTACTCATATCAATGAATCGAAATAAAATTGCATAAATACTCTAACAATGACAAATTAATTTAATTTGTTAATACATGTATTAAAAATTAGTAATAATTAAGAAAAAAAAGATGTATTTATGCCTTTTTTTTTTTGCTTAATTTTATAATCCTATGGACAAAAATATGCAAATACTGAAAGTAATTAGTATAGCTAATTATTGGTAATAAAAGGAATAAATTATAAATTATTATTATATATCATAATTATATTGTAATTTTTAGATATACTAAATGATTATATTGTGGATTTATATAAATTAGTACAATTATTCATTGTAATAATTACTAACTATCTAATAAAGGACGACCATTTTTTTGTTTTTGTTTTTTTAATAGAAAATTGGAATGAACATTTACAAAAACTTCAAATTTTATTTTGAGTGACATTTCTTTTTCTAAAAAAAAGTGAGGTGACATAAAAAGAGAAAAATAAAGGAGGAAAGAGAGGACTAGAGAGATAAGAAATATTTTTAAAATGAAATTTGAAATGATTGAAATTGTTATTACGAAGTCATATATATATATATATTATGTGTGTTTAGTAATTTTTACTTAAGTTATTCTGCTCGCGTATAATATTGAATGAAACTATAATTCTATTACTTAATAATTGAAAGACTTACAAAATTGAATTTATCATTTATCAGTGGCATTACCACGTTTATCAATTGAAAAATAATTCACACCTTTACAAATAGTATTTATTTCTATTGTATTACAAGTTGTTAACAAATGAATTAAAGCAATTAGATCGAACAAATAAACTGGAACATATATATATATATTCATATGCTTATCTCATGATTGAAATAATT